CTAATTATATTTTAGATTTATTATATTTAAATGAGATGTTTATCTTGTATTTGATTATGTTTATCTGTAGTTAGTTACACGAATTCAAATATGGAGTTTTAATAAGTTGTACTTACACATAATCTATTTGCAATCTAGAGCTTTAAGTAATATGCATTAATAAACGGTACTTTACTCATAAAAAGTGGTTTTTAAGAGTTTTTGTCAAATTCTTTATAATATAGTATAGATATATTTGCTTAAATGCTTCAGTGATGAGAAACACTAAAACAATCTTTTAAAACATTTGTATCACTGAATAAGAAAAGGTTTGGTGATAATTTTTGTTTTAAGATAAGATAAGTATATCTTAGAGAGATACACTTGCTTTAAAAAGTTCAGTGATAAAAGGAATTATTGAGACAATCTTTTAAAACGTTTTGATAAGTGAATATGAAAAGATTTTGTGATAGCCTTAAGTTTTGAAGAGAGAGAGAGAGAGAGAATAAGTATACATAACTTAGAAAGAGAAGATATATTTACTCAAGAGCTCAGTGATAGAATAAGAACACTGAAACATTTCACTTACTGAGTAATGCTTATAGCTGAAGAAAATTAATCCTCACACGTTCAACATTCCAAGTTCGCTGATCAAGATGTTAAATCTCGTCTCATCAAGAGACTTTGTAAAAAGGTCAGCGAGTTGGTAATAAGTTAGAATAAAGTGAAGTTCAATATTACCAATCATAACATGATCTTTAATAAAATGATATCGGATCTCAGTATGTTTGGTCTTTGAGTGAAGAACAAGATTGTTTACAATAGCAATAGCAATGTTGCTATTGCAATAGATAAAAATCTTGGAAAACTGAAGATCATAGTCGTTGAGTTGGTTTTTCATCCAAAGAACTTGGGAACAGCAGCTTCCAACGGCAACATATTCAGCTTCAACAGTTGATGTGGACAAAAAATTTTGCTTTTTACTTTTCCAGCTTACCAACTTTCCACCCCCGTTTACCAACTTTCCACCTAGAAGCTGACAGCCTCTAATGGTGCTTTTCCTATCAATTTTCCATCCAACAAATCACTATTTGAATAAACTATTAGGTCAAAATCTGAACTCTTAGGGTACCAGAGACCCAAGTTAGGAGTTCTCTAGAGGTATCTGAATATGCGTTTTACAGCAATCAGACGAGATTCTGTTGGTTCATATTGATATCGTGCATAAAGACAAGTAGAATACATGATATTTGGACGACTTGTGGTGAGATACAGCAAATAGCCGATCATTCCTCTATAAACAGTAACGTTTATAGGCTTTCCGTTTGGATCCTTGATTAGAGAGAGAGAGAGGAGGAGCCATCGGAGTTTTCATAGATGAGTTGTTGGATTGATCAACCTTTTTCAACATATCTCTGACATACTTTGGCTGATAAAGATACGTTTATCTGGTTGCTTGATTTGGAGACCTAGAAAATAGGTTAGTTCTCCCCTCATACTCATCTAATATTTTTTCTTCATGCGATCAGCGAACCGAAAACAGAAAGAGGGGTTAGTGGAATCAAATATAATATCATCGACATAAATTTGGACTAGAATGATATGACCTTTAACTTTCCTAAGAAATAAGGTTTGATCAATCTTTCCACAGACAAATTTGTCAAAGATGAGAGATGGGGAGAGGGTATCATACCAGGCATGAGAGGCCTGTTTTAACCCTTTAAGAGCTTTATCCAATCGATAGACATGATTTGGATACTTAGGGTCAAAAACCCTAGAGGTTGTTCAACATAAACTTTCTCTTGGAGTTTTCCATTAAGGAAAGCACTCCTTACATCCATTTGAAAAATACTTTAAAGTCTCTGTAGGAAGAAAAGGCTAGAAAAAGTCGAATAACTTCGAGTCTAGCCAGTGGTGCGAAGGTTTTGTCATAATCGATTCCTCATTCTTCTCTAAAACCCTGAGTAACAAAGTGAGCCTTGTTAAGAGTTACCACAACTTGTTCATCTAACTTATTGCAATAAACCCTTTGGTGCCTATCACAATTGTGTCAGATGGATGTGGAACAAGGTACCAGACTTTGTTCATATCAAACTCAATAAGCTTCTCTTGCATAACAATAACCCAAATAGGGCCTGAGATAAACTCATTGATTTTCTTGGGTTCAACTAAAGAAAGGAAGTTGAAAAAGAGACATATGTTACTTAGACTACGTCGTGTCTGAAAACATGCACTTGGATTACCAAGAAATTGATGAATTGGATGGTCTTTTGTCCATCATTGAGCTGGTAGAGGATTGCGATATAAGCATTGATGTTCAGGAATAGAAGATGAGGCTTTAGCTGCAGATTCTTTCAATAATGGGTAGAATTTCTAAAGGAGCCTCAGAGAGAGATTCAACGACTGAGAGAGGTTCAGATGCTGAAGTCATTTCATTCACTGATTGGTCAGTGTTTGAAGTAGGGGGGAAGAATGCAACTAATGGGAACTACAACGATCTCTGGAAAAAACTTGCTTTGGTTATTAGTTGCAACTGGAATAATAAGTAGATCATCATTAGCTTCTAGAGTATCAGCATTGGGTTGATTGTTGAAGGAAGCTTCAGGTTGTCTAACACGAGAAAACATCTAGTTTTCTAATTCTTAATCATTGTTAAGAATGGTTTTAGAATTAGACAATTGAGATTTATCAAAGGTTACATGTATAGTTTCTTCTCTGGTTTGTCAACATTTGTTGAATACTCTGAAGGATTTGGATACTGAAGAATATCCAAGAGATTTTTTCATCAGCTTTGGGATAACTTTCGAAGTTGGTTACTGTTGTTGAGAATGGAACACGTGCAACCAAATATATGAAGAAAGCTGAGAGAAGGCTTTCTGCTATGAAAAAAAATGTGTTCATACTTGTGAATGTTTTTCTCTACTGCAAAAGTTAAAGCAACATTTTTCCAATCCCAACTGCATTCTCTCTGGATCATCAAGCATAAAATCCAAGAAGACCTAGAAGAGAAAGAAGGCTCCTAAAGCTAAGTCTAACAAACCAGATCTCAAGTCTGGTAACTCAAGTGTAGAGAAAAAACCTCTCCCCCAAACTAAAAACCGATCTTTTAACCCTAATCATCGAGGACCCATTATGAAATGGGTACCTAAATCCCTATAATTTGTTTTGCAGAAGCCACATGTGGACATTTGGTATCTCGACTCCAGATGCTCGAGACACATGACCGGCAATACGAGGCTTCTCTCCTCATACAGAGAGAAAGTTGGAGGTAGAGTAACCTCTGGGGATAATATGCAAGGGGAAATAAAGGGATATGGAGATCTTCTTCAAGGTAAGGTTTGTGTCTCCAAAATTTGCTTATGTCTCTGAGCTTAAACATAATCTTTTGAGCATAAGTCAACTATGTGATTCTAGCTACAATGTCAGGTTCCAAAAGGAAGCTTGTTCTATTATGTCAGAATCAGGTCAGGAGTTGCAAAGAGCAAACGTAAGGGAAATCTCAATTGTATGAAGTTCTCACCAAGAGATAATTTAGGGACTCTCTGTCTCGTATCTCGTATGTGCGAAGAAGCATAGCTCTGGCATCACAAGATGTATCATTTAAATTTCAAAAATATAGAGAAGCTTTTGAAAAATAATCTGGTAAGCCATAAAGTTCGAAAAGGACCATCTCTGCCTACGTGTGAAATGGGAAACCTCAAAAGAGCATCCCACAAAACAAAGACAAATGTGTCTTGTGTCAGACCTCTGCATATGCTTCATGTGGATCTCTGTGGTCCAATCTCTGTACAAAGCTTGTCTGGTAAAAAATATATCCTTTTTTTAATTGATGAAATTTACGATATACTTGGATTGAGTTTGTAAGGCAGAAATCAGATGCCCAAAGCTGCTAATTAAGTTGATGACCAAGATTCAAGTTCTTCTACAGAGAAAAATTAAAAAGTTGAGAACTGATAATGGAACAGAGTTTGAGAA